TTTTTTTTGCTTGGGGCAGCAAAAAAGTTAGAGCTGGCCCTGATCCCTAGACTTTGTCTGCCAGAAGCTGGGAATCATCACTTGATTACCTGTTCTGTTCATTCCCTCTGAAGCACCTGGCATTGGTCACTGTTGGAAGACAGAATACTGAGCTGGATGGACCATTGGTCTGACCCAGTATGGCTGTTCTTAGGTTTTTATATTGAAGAAAGGAAAAGTGAGAAACAGACTAAAAACTCAAGCAATAAACAATGGTTACTTCGGTTACAATCTCTTCTGCATGTCCAGCTGTGGAGAGTTTTCAATAAAGATTATACCTTAACAGGCATGTTGTGGTGGAAAACTCTTCTTTAGGTGAACTAAAACCTAATGATGATATTCCCCAAACCAGCAATGGGCCCTGTCTCAATATATCATAAATAGATATCAATTGGCTAATATAGATGGGGAAATTTAATTTGAACTGGTGAATCCTGTTTGGTTTAGCTTAGGTATCTTAAGAAGTTTATAAGTAGGCAAAGGTGAGTGATGTTAACTAAGGAGGCCTGTGAAACCAGAGACATCTAAATAGATTACTTAAAAGAAGCGGAAGAGTTCAGACATAATGAATAGTAAGAATCTTGCATTTAAACTGTCTCAAATTTCTGTTCACCAAGGTTAGCTGATGTCCCCCGAATACACTATCTGGTATTTAATGGGAGAAGCTGGAAGCACCTTAAATGATGATAGCATTTAAATATTTTTCTTGAAATGTTTTAAATCCCTTGGCAGTGCTTTTGTGAACTCCAGCTCACCAGTGGTGTTTAAAGTCTCAGTGATGTCATGTTGCAGAAGCAGTGCTTGGCTAGAAAGTTTCTGCTACGTGATGCTGTGGTTGATTGTCTTGCTGCTGCTGTTTGCTTATTTGTAAAGGTGTTGAGATTAAATAACTGTCTGAACCAAGACTCCGACCTTTTTAAAAGATAATTTAAATTTTGTTTGTTAGTTATTCAGTTCATTTTTCTGAGATCCCTTTAGTTCCCTCAGGGTTTCATAGGGGTTGAAAGTTTGAGGAATTCAAACACTCCTCCTTCCTGTGTCTACTTTTAAATTATTATTAGTCATTTAAACCTAAATGCTCATCAAATAAGGCATGGTCTTGCTGTTCCTTAATAATCCTTAGTTTGTTCTTGTCTTTTTGAGTTTGGTAAACAGTTGCTTAAGCATTGTCAGATAGCTAATCCTGCCCATTAACAGCAATATTTTATATTCAATCAGTTATATCGTATGACTTTACGGTATTTGTACATCTTACCCTTCACCAAACGAGGTATCGTGCAGCTATTTTAGGAAGGGCTCGTGTTTAGATATGATGTGTAAATAAGTTTCCTTTCAGACATTTATCTTAGATACTGGAGGGACAAAAAGGCTTTCGACCATTGAAGAGGAAACATGAGTTGGAAAACATTTTACAAAAGATATGGGTTACTTCTAACCATTAATGTTCTCAAAGTTTGAAGTGCCTATGAACAAAATCAGTTTCAATAAAGATATTTCTAGAATTCCTTGGGGGCTTACAACTGAAGGTTTTTCTCTTTTACAAAGAGGCCTAACTTTCATGGCTTAAGATGCATTATCAGAACTATAAACCAATAAAGACTAGCCTCCCACCTTTATACAAGCAGGTCTCTTTCTAAAACAAATCCTAAGTTTATTTTCTTAAGATAAAGATCAGCTCTATACCACTCTGTCTTGTACAAGGAAGGAGCCCTGTTGGTGGTGGTTTGCCTTTTGACCTAATGGTTCCTAGATTTATAATCTACTATTTGTGGTACATTTACAGTTTGCAGTTCAAGGTTCCTGTCAAATATTCTATACAAAGCACCACTTACTGACATTTTGAAAGAAAATGTTATAAAGCTCTGCATTCCACAGTCAATGTGAACACATGTTGGAGGTAATAAATATAGTCTTACTGGTAAAGGTGTCCTCTTGACAGATTTCCTTAAAACATGCACTTTCATAAAAGAGCAACCAAAATATGAGCTATCATTTTCCAAGCATCTGGTGCATGAAATTACTAAACTTTCAGAGATGCTTGCAATTAAAGGTGAAGGCAAGATTGTATGTAACCTACCATCAATTGCCATTTTTAACCAACCATTGTTGCATCAGTAGTGAGGTCTGGCCCCTAAGCTCCTGCAGCAGCAACTTTATTTTCCCCGTTGCATGATCCCTCTCCTAGTCTACCATCCTCTTTTGGGGTGCAGGGAAGGGCTCTGGCTCTCACTTGAACAGTCTCTGCTGTTACTCAGCATTCTACCATTTAATAGTATCAAAAAATCAGATCATTTCACTATTACCACTTCAGGATTTGAGTAACAGTAGTGAATCTGAACAGAGCTGCTCCTTTTACTAGGTTGCTAAGTAGCAAGAGCCACAGTAGCTGAGGAAGACAATATTACACAGATACACATTTTAAAGGGGAAAGTTTCTTACTGGCCACTGCTAAGTAGACTTGTTATTGTAGACTGAGCGATACCCTAGTAGCCAAACACTGGCATTTGTGGAGGTATGCATCCTTAATAGCTGCAACATTAATACCAGGAGGCTGTAGCATTCTATGGCTCTCTAATGTATTCATAATAGCCCCATAACAAGCCACCAGTTGGGGCTTAGGTGACTGTTTATCTTTCTTCATGCCAACCGTGTTCAGAACTGTATGTGCAAAAATGTTTAGGATTCAGCATTTGTGATTGGGGGGGGGGGGAAAGAGGGAGTAGCTCTCTTTGAGGGACACCCAGCCAGTTAGCTGTAAAATCCCTCTTGGTAGCAGTTCTTTACTTGCTTTACCTGTAAAGGGTTAAAAAGTGGGCACCTAACCAAAAGAGCCAATGGGAAGGTAGAACTTTTTAAAATTGGAAAAGAAACTTTGCCTTTGTCTGTTCTCTCTGGGCTGGAGGGTCAGAGCAGCCATGCTATAAGCAGCTAAGCCAGGTATGATAGTCATCAGATCACGCCTAGAACTCCCAACGTGTAAGTAGATCACTGTTTAGCTAGACATGAGGAGGGTTATTTCTTACTAGTTTGTAGACTTCTCTGTACTAACCCCAGATGCTTTTGTTTGCTTGATTTTTGGTATTGCTCTAAGTTCGAGATGTATTTCTTTTTGTTTTTAAAAATTAACACCAAAAATCCAATCCTGTTCTTAAGAGGTTTGTGCATGTTGTTTGACTAGCTGTTTGCCACAGCTAATTTCCTTTCTTGGCTCTTCTGGGGGGGTGAAAGGGCTGGGGAATTCCTCCCTGGGTTCAAAGGGGGTTTTGTTGCATTTGGGTGGTGGCAGTGTTTACCAAGCCAAGGTCAGAGAAAAGAGTTTAATGCTAGTATTCATTTTTAAAATCTGTGTGGGCCCTACTTCTGCACCTGGCTGACTCCCAACTCTGACACTCCTTGACAGCATTAATGCAGAGATGCAAACCAGTGCTCCTTTACTTCTTAGCTGCTGTAACTTCTTGTGTGCAAACATACAGTACTTGCAGCTGTTTATAATGGTCTTTATTGAAAAATACACTTCAGACAAAGTAAGGTTACAGTATTGTAATAATCTGACAGTTCATAAATATTTTTACAGAAACACTCAACCGCTGTTTAATTTCAGTATCTTCGTTATCAAAGTTAACCAGGAATTTGCTTTTAAATTCAATTTACAACTGAATTAAATCCTAATAGTTTCCATAATTTTCCATTCTAATCATTGTCTGCACAGGAATGATTGAAACATGGAATTTATGTAGCTGTTTAACAAATCTTGAAAGTGATAAATGCTGTATTAGTGGTCAACAATACTCTTCTACAATTAGTCTCTTCATGTGAAACATATTTGATCACTCCCCTCCCCCTGTCTCTATAATCATTTATGCCTCAAGTACATTTGCTCTGCTGCTGGCACAGCCCTGCCTCAAGTATAAGTAAGGGTGTCAATGAAATTTGTCTATCATTTTTCGCAGTGCCACTGCTGTACAGAGATTGGGGGGGGGGGGGGGGGGCCTTTCTTTTTCCCCCCCCCCTGCTGATGTGTTTAGAGTACATTTTCCAGATGTATTTATGTACCAGTTTTCTGTTTGTGAGGAGAAGAAATGTCTCCTGGGCATCCTGATTAAGTCTAGTTCAATGAAGGTGCCATTTAAAAATAAACCTCAAAAGGAAGATACAGCTGCCATCCTTTTTCTCATGAGGCAACAAGATGGCTACCTCCGAAAAAGCACTAAAAAAAATGATTGAGTTTGAAAAAACAATGTATTTGTAAAGACCTGCTTGGGGGGAAAAAAAAGCAAACTTCCCATATCAGTACTTGCATATTCACAAAATTAGTTTTAGCTTAACATCATTTACTGACAAGATGTCATATTTGAAAATAAATAAAGTCGTCATTTTAATACAGAAAAAACACATCTTTAGCCTCAATTTGAAAAATATTTACATTCAGAAAGTGCCATTGCAAATATACAGCAAAACTAACTTACAATTTATGCTTTACAGCCCTATCAAAAGTGCCTCCCCTTGAACTTGAGTTCACTTTAAAACATTGCACAGCTAAAAAAATGCATTAACAGAATTGCCTACACAGCAAAGTGCCCAAACATTAAAACAAAATTGTTCTAACAGCCTGATCTGGGAGACTCAGTTTAGGTAATTTCATAAGGTATTCTTTACCTACCTCCTTGGGGGGGGGAAATATATATATATATCCATCCCCAAGCTGGGCTGTCAGCATTCCAAGTTGTAGCACTAGAGATCATGGGTCATCCCTACCACAGAGAAGCTCACCCATGAGTAATTTGAATATCTTAGTGCAATACTCCTGGATCTGACCAGTACATTGTGGCTTGCTAGGCAAAAAGAATGGTAAAGCACCAAGAAAAACAGTGTATGCAGCTGGGGGCTAAACCCTGTACGCACAATTCCTATCACAAGCTAGGAAACTATATAGGGTACATTGTCGCAGCAATAATAATTTATATATAAAAACTTGCACATGTCCTCATAGTAAAGCACAGCATATAAGCTAAATGTGAAATCTGAATGCCCAGGGTTAGCCTCAGAGGTGGAAGTATCACTTAGCAATGTGCTTGACCACAATGGGACAAAGTGTGCAGCATCAGTCTCCACTCCCCTTTATGGGACAGTTCAAAGAAGCAATGCAGTCTAAAGGGAGATTTCTGTTTGAAAATCAAATACTACCATTCTCAGCCACAGGTTAGCTAGGAAGATGGCAGTCGTGAAATGGAAGATGCTCAAAGGCTTCATGAATCCACAAAAAATGCTTCGTAGTCACACCCTGGACAGATGAAGAAAGGACCTATCTGCTCTGGAACACAAACAATTGATGAAACTCAGTGAGAACCTCTATCATTTGCTACATCTTGTAATCTTCTTAGTAGAGCAGTGTGATTCTCCTGACAGATCCGTTTGGCTGGTGATTCAGTACCATCTTCCAAGAGAATGCCTCTTTTCTTTGTGGGGGTCTCTCCAGTTCTAATCATGCTGTTAATCTCACTCAGCCTCTGAAACATAATCATAGAAAGAACAGGAAATGTGGATATCCACAGGTTCATGGGATGAGTCTAAAGCAAAACCCTGTCTCTTTGCCAACCTTGCATATGAGGAGAATGTCATTCACTGACAGACTGAGTAGCCTTAACAAGGATTCCAAATTGGTTTGTTACTCCCATGTGCACCAAAGCATGACCATATACGCTTTGAAGGAAGCAGAGCGTTACCCTCCACTGCCGTAGATTTGAATCAGACCTAAATTAATGCTCATGATAGACTATTTATTCCAGCATTGTCTCCCTTCGTTGTAACCCCTATTCCTACTATTTCCCCTTCCGTTACTGTACTGATCAAAGTTCCCCCCACTGTAACTAGCCTGTATGACTACTGGCATTTCAAACACTACATTTCTTTCAGGTTTTTTTCCCTTTATCATTGCTTTTCTGTTACTATGGAACTTGCTAGACTGAAATGTCGAAGGAGAATGTTCTCTCCGGCCTGGCTCGTTGGGGTTTTCAATTACTCTGTGTGAAATCTATGAATAAAAATACACTATCATATTTCATGTGCAGCAGCTCCCTATTCTCTTTTAGAACATTTGATGTACTCCCATTTGAAAAAGCAGTATGTGAAGTGCACAGCGGCAGGATCTCATGGATAGTTAGCGCACTGAAGCGTTACACCCTAGCTTGCCATATACTAAATCCCACTTTCAAAAGTGACTTAGGAGACGAAGTCATTAGAGAGCTTTATTTTTGCACACGCAGTTATTTAGGTGTAACAGAAAAGGCAGTTTTAAAGGTTGCAGGCACACTATTTATAGGCAAAAACAACAGCATTTGAGAGCGAGCTCTGTGAATGCACCCTCAAATCTCTCAGCTCTGCATGGTTTTTTTTTTTTTTTTTAAACTTGCAAAAATTTTTTTTAAAACAACCACCCCACAATTCTTGGAATATTAACCGTTTACTCTTACCTTAGAGGGGCTACTGCTGAAGTAGTAGAATATTTTCTCTCGCGGAGAAAGTGTAGACTCATTTTTGTGTGGTGAGATGTATATTGAGTGATTCTGGGACAGCTGTATTCTGCGGGGGGAGCCAATTCTTACAAATGGATAAGGAGATAGTGGAGGAGCATCAGTCTGTTAAGGTAAAAGAACAAATCAATCACTACCACTTTTCCAACAGAGAGACTAGTGCAGGCATAAACCCCTTTTGACTTTTAATGCAACTGGATGATCTAATTTACGCTATCCCTATACATGGTAAAACATACAGATACTGTAATGTTTATAAAGCACAACACTATTATTCTTCATGGGCATCCAGAGATGCATACTTCACTGAAGGAGGAGGACACTTTCTTCCTCTTAAATACTAAAAATACAGTTTGGCATGGATATGGCACAAGGATCTCAAAATACTTTTATGACCAATGAAAGCTCCCCCATCCTGGAAGGTAGGGTAAGTACAAATGCTTATTCTCTGCTGCTACTGTAACACTTTTTTTTTTTTTTTTTTTTTAAGTGAAAAAACACCCCTCTCCTGGTTGCTGATTGCAACACAGATCAGGTGGCAAGAGCACTTTACTATGTGTACGATCAACACACCAACAGCAGTTGGTACCTCACCCACCTTCTTGCTCTAGCTTTTATTTACTAATGAAAGTAATTAAGAGCACTTACAGCATTTGTGGAAGAGTACTTCAGGGCAAATTCTTTCATTTGTTCAATATAGATGTTGTTATAGAACCGAATAAGGTCCCCTCGCTCCTCCTCCTCAATATCACTGTTTGCGCCTGTCAGTCGTGTGGGAGTTGGGGGGGCACTAGTCGGCTGCGGAACTGGCAGGGTGCTGCTAGATCTCATGACAGGACTAGAGTCTCTACTAGCTGGAAAGGTAAGAGTAGCATTTCCGAGTCACTTCAGCTCCAGTTGTTGCTCTTATAAAACCACATTAAAATTGTTTAAGCTCTACTCAAAAGTAAAAAAATGCCAGATCTATAGTTGGCTGCACATTTGTCCTGTGGGGAAATACTGCATACACACACGGGGACAGAATTAAGGTTGGGTGGGCAACTATAAATCTGGCATTTCCTAACAATGAGTGCTAGATACTGCAACCTAAATGTTCTTTTAACTTGGAAATTACCTTTTTCAAAAATTTTTTGTTTTTTAAAGAAAAGTTTTAAAAAAATATTTGCAACCGTATCAAGCCCCACTTTCCCACAAATACTTCATAAACCAGGTTTGACCACTGAAGTATCAGCTCTGGCTTCTACCACTTAAGCTCCAGGGCAGATATCAGCTGGAAGCAGCAGAATGGGGGAGCGGGGAGGAAAGGACCAGTGAGTGCTAGGGAGGCTGGTGGGCCATATACCCAGGCTTGTTCTTACCTCCCCCCACTCCTCAGGCCAGGGGAAAAAGGTGGAACAACTCAGCTCTCTTCCACTCCCTCGTTGATGAAACTTACAAGCATGAACTACTTATAGTCACAAGCATCCTTTAAGATGGACATGTTAGGCAACCTAAATCTAGGGATCACAGCCACCATCCTCTATAGAGATTTCAAAGGGGCAGTGCGATGGCGTTAAGTCTGAGCAGGTAAGCGTCACTTTCTTTGCACTTTAGAAAAAGTGGTACCTGCACTCGGGGAATGGATGTTCAGATTAGGCCAAAGCAGGCGGCCTTGAGAGAGAATCCCTGATGTGTGGATGGAAAAATCCTCCTTTTGTGATGCTAATGTAAATGGGGGTACTCCTATGTTCAAAGAGAAAATGAAGGGTCATGGGAGTGTCTGCAGTGAGAACGCCTCCCAAGCATGCGTTCAAGGGCAAATGGACTTTGAGTGAATGTTTTTTTCAGTTCTCTTAGAGATGGTGCTGGCCTGCCTCACTTCTTGCTAATCGATCTTGCAATTAAGCTCTAGTTCTTCTCTAGACCTAGAAAAGAAAGAGGCTGCTGCGCTTCCATTTACTTATAAAGGCAGCCTAAACACGAGTAACCACTTTTGATACTTGCTGGCTTTCATTTTGTCTGGAAACAGTTTATTTTACAGGGGAGTCTTCTGCAGAACAGCACTAACTGTGCATCAACCTATTGGCTTATGTGTCTGCCAACGCACATAGCTTCAGAGAAGAGCGGGGGTTGACTGCTATAAAAGCCCAAGCCAAACCTGAGGGAGACTGGCTGGGTTAGGGACAGCAACTATCAAAAAGCCTCTACTTGTTTGATATAAGTTCTCTCGAGTAGTAGCCATAGATGATGGGGGATTAATTGATGTTACACTCAGCTGTAGAGACAAAATTGTCAAGGGCAGCACCAGTATCGAGCAAATTTACTTGGAGTTAAATTCTGCAGCTGTCTTGTTATTGAAATATTACCATACCTGTCTAAACTTAAAATATCTGGTTGCCCAAGAATTAAGCCATTTGAATTTGACTTTTACTACTCCATTTTGAGGTAGTGAAATCCATACATGAGAAGTGGTTGTTCAAATCTTCTTTGAAGCTAGATAAAACACTTCCTTTCCCCAGGATTAACATTAAGATGTTCCCCATTTAAAAGAGCTGTCTAGTTCACATACACATACAATGGTTTGGAATCACTTACCTCTGTCTTTACTTCTCTCTGTTGGGGAATTCTGTTGGATACTACTATCACTACTGCCAGAACGACGGCGCTGTCTTCTGCCCTTTATCAGGACAGTCCGATATACCTGCAAAAAGCCCAAGATGAACAAATTGAAGGAAGGATCGTTAACAAGGCAGCCATATATGCAAGCAACAAAGGGTTTGTATGAAAGATCAGTACGTTAAGAGTTGTTTTTATTACAAGAGAAACTACTGAAATAATATTGACTATCCCAATATACATCCTTTATAAAAGAATATTTTTGCAGCCTCATTTTCTAACCACTAATACCATATATTTAAAAGCATCTTCCTATTTATTTACAAGATCATCATCAATGAGGGCACTGTACCTTATGTTTTAAATGAAGACATTCAGAATCTAAACCAAATTTTGTCGAACACCATGTAGTTAGCTAAGAATTTTGGATTTAGCCATCCTCCTCTTCAAAAACTACTAAAAGATATTGGGCAACCTGCACTGTACCAAGCAGGGTTTATGGAGTTAACATTTTTGGGAAGTAAATGGAATCCTGTTGGAACAAAGGAATTTATACCATTTGAGTGTTAAATTCCACTAGTGAAGATTAAAGTCACTCTAGATTCCCATTCAGGGAATATACCTGAAGATGGTAGCTACTATAAGTAATTGATGGGCTCAGTAAAAATATAATCCCCATTACTTCAGTATTAATTGTACTTACATGACTCCTTGCTTGTGGTTGGGTCCTATAGCAGCGCATGATGTTCTGAAATGACTTATCTTCCTTTGTAACCTAAAAAAGACAATGAGGTTTTTTTTTATTTGGTGGGGAAATGCAGCTGCCTTACATTACTAGTAATCCTGATAAATTTTGTTTTACTGTTATGAATAAAAAGCAGATGTGTATTTTATTCATCTTACCTTCGCCATTACATAAATGGCACACATTAACAGCTGATCTAAATGTCTGTCCATCATGAGCTCAGGGCACTGTACCAAGGAAAACTCAAAACATGTCCAGATTTTCTTCCTCAACTCATCAGAAATATCCAGTTTGACACAGAGATCCCGCAGCCGAACACTTGCTAAGTGATAAACCTTTTGGAAGGAAGGACCCATACATAGAGCATTGATTAGGACAAAATCAAGCTCTTTAAACTTACATGGTTTTCTAAACATAAAACTTTATCCACTACACTGATTAACAAAAAGGAAAGCTCAGCATGTTTTTTTAATATGAGCTGTTTAAGACCTCAAATCAATAGGCAGCATGTATGTGTACAATAAAATGTCTATTTTAAGACAGATTCGAAAATTAGTTCCTTTTGCTTGCCTGACAAGACCTGGGTTCAAGATTGAAACCAATGAAGGAACATGCTGTGTTTTAAGTACTTATGATACTAACTCTCACAGGAGAAACATGACTCTGAATTTCAAGTCCTGGTAGGCAAGTAAATGGTTTTCAAAAACTTGGTTTTAGTATATAATGTAAACAGCCTGTTACTAATTAAGATTTCTAATTTTACATTGTTCTGTACGTTTCCAGTAAAGCCCATACTGCAGTGACATGACATTTCACAGTGGAAGGTACCTTTCTAAAGAAAAGACACAGAGAGCCAGTCTTTCGGGGTTTGGTGCTGCTGGTGGTAGAGAACTGCTGGTTTTGTCTTTGTTGGTCTCCAGAAGGAGAGATCTGTTGAACCGCAACTTGGCTTGGTAACTGAAGGGTTGTCCCACTCATCTGAGTGTTAAGGGTACCACTGGCAAGGGTCTGGGCACTGAGTGGCTGGATGGAGCCAGAGACAGCTTGAGCCTGACCACCTACATTTACCTGAACTGGGAAGAAAGTTATTCCTCCATTTTCATTGGCGATGCCTGTAATTTAAACAAAAATGAATTCAGTAAAGGGTGTCTTCAAAACCCTAGCCATGCATGCTTCCTGAGCACCAGCAACCTTTCTAGTGATGGACAGTTATTAAATAAGTGTGTAGTGGCAGGTAACTGAAAATGTTCAGGAAAGAACACTGAGGAATCCTGATCATAAATGGACCAAAAGACCTTAGTTACTTTCAATAAATGAAGAGGAGGCTAGTTAAACAGATGACTTCTATACAAGGCAGTTGGGAAGCAAATGTACATTTGCTCCAGTGTTCAACAGCTAAATAGTACCCATATCTTTTCCCATTCATTACTTTCCTGTTTTACAGCCCACAGGCCTTTGTTTCTCATTTCCCCCACTCCCACATGTCTACCTACTCTTTCACTCCCTATTGATATGCAATTCAGTGTTTCTGGTAATAATCAATGCAATCCATTCTCCCAGAGCTTCCCCCTTACCTTGTACTGGTATTGTAACAGTTTGTCCGTTGTTGGCTGTGACAGTGGCAGTTGCTACAGTAACCAAAGTCTGTCCAGGCACTGGAGTAACTGACATAGTTTCAGGTGTCACATTCTGCACTGGCACAGTATTTACTACAGGCTGCTGTGAAACTCTTACAGGAGTTCCACTGTCAGGGGGATTATCATTATCCACAAATAGCCTTCTCCTAGTAGGATTGGTTGTAGGAGAACTGTATCTGTCATACAAGGTGGTTGGAGAAGACGAAAGGCCTGAAGATATTTAAAAAACAACAACAACAAGCATTTAACTTGAGCTTTACACCTCATCATTGCCCCAGTGCTGTAAAAATTCATCTAATCAAAACAATGTCCTCTAGCACTGTTCCCAGCTAGGTATCTTTAAATCTCTCTGAAGCCACAGTGGTGAATGGCCCATCTTACAGGATGTCTCCTATTCATACACTTAATTCCTAAATACTGTGTGTTATCACAGGACCACAACTTCTAAAACTAGCTTCCCATCTGAGAAACAGGTTGGCTATAATATAACACACTTTAGCAGAAGCAACTTTTAAGAGCCAACTTAATTGCTATATGAACAAGATGTCCAGGTCATAAGCAACTGTCTAAATAAGGCTGCCGTTTCAGTATATTACTAAGAAAGCAAACTGCTTGGGCCATGAGTGAAGGTCATTAAAGAACTTTTGATAAGCTCAAACATGAATAAACGTTAGAGGATTTACTTGGTTTTTCTATCAGATTCCTAGAAACAACAATAGCCGAGGTGGGTTTTTTTTTTTAAATGATTATTCTTGAATAGTCAAAAATGTACTACAATAGTTTGTGGGGCAGGGAAAAGGGTAGCAGAAAATCTCAGATTGCTACTTTTTGTTCCTTTATGACTATATCCAGTAAGTGGAGGATTTATATGCAAGATCCTATTCTTTGTGGCACTAATTACAATTAGTGAACACTACAATAGACCTTAAGTTTACTTGCTCTGATCCCCAGGTTATACTATTGGGTGCTACCTTAAGGCTGTTGATATTCACTCATATGTGTATATATATAAATAAAACTCACTAAACTCTTAATTGCTCCATTTTGGTAAAATGCTTTATCATTGAGCAAGAACTTATGTGAGCCATAACCTCTCATTGTATTCTATAATAGAACATCTGCACTGTCATTTCATAGATTTCATTTGTAGGCTAATAAGGTTGAACAAAGATTTCAAATGAAATATTACAGGTTTTTATTGCATCTCATTTGCTCTAATGTCAATATTAGAACTGGGCAATTTTTTTTTTGGTCACAATGCGGTCCCCCCCAGTGTTCTGAAACTATTAATGAATTCAGGTCAAATTGGATGAATAGCCTGGGCCTAGGAAAAGCAATTTAAAAATAGTCAAATCTTTTATGACTTCATTTTGACAAAGTTTTGAATTCATATTTGGCCACGTTTTTGTTAGTACACCAGAGGGGTGAAACAGCAACACTAAAATTAACATTTTTTTGCTGAGTTGACAAATGTTTCACGTGATGCAAAATATTTTTTTTTCTGATTCAATTACAACGGAACTGGATTATTTCTCAATTTGGCCTTGTCAGCGGGCAACTGCTCTTTATGGGGACTTTTAAGGCCCATTCTGCCTTATGAAGGCCTCACTTGGGGGTAACTAAGTGCCCCAGGTAGCTGCTTAGTTGAGGACCTGGACCTACTGAAGTGGTTCCCTCTCACTGAGCTTGGGTAACTCCCAAGTGAAACAGAACACTCCTGGGGAGGGGAGTTCCCAGGAGAAGCTTGAGCCAGAGGGCTGAGCAGGGAGCCCATCAGACTGGAGAATCTCCAGGGGTGCAGTAAGCAGGCAGCCAAGAGGGTCTTGTCTCCCAGGCAGTGGCCAGAAGCCTAGCCTAAGCAAGGATCACCTGCTGTCCCTGGAGAAGAGATGCTGTCAACAGACCACCCTGCACCCTTGACTCCCGAGAAGGACATTAGGCCAGAAGGGGCAAGAAGCCTAAAACCAGGGGGGAAGAGCCTGGGTAGAGGCAAGCCTTGAACTAAGGTGGGGGACATGCACTAAGAATGACCTAATCACCCTGGTGGGGATGTTCAGGTGAAAGTTTTATATTCTGTATTAGCTTTTCTGTTAATAAAGGAGATCCTCCACCAGGAGGTGCTCTTTAGCATCGGTCTGGACTTGGCTGAGGGGGAAAATCAAAGAAGGGCCCGCTTGCAAAGGGGCATGCTGTGTCAGACTGGAATTATGACAGTCCTCTGAACTGAAAAAAAATCTGTTATTTGTTTAGCTCTAGTCAATGCATAGTTGCAACCTTCCTTGATGCTATTTGGAACACACATTAGTTATTTTAAACATGTAGCAATATTCTATAGCTTGTATGTAACTGAGTGCAAACTTTCTACCACACAGCATGTATCACTTCTAAAATGCAGGCTACACATTTTATTTTTTTAAACATCTCACCTTTTCCAAGCCCTCCAGTTTCAGCACGAACTTCACTGATCCTTCTTGGAGTCAAAGGAGAGCCTACCAGACTGTTCCCATTAGATCTTTCAAAATAGTGAGGTGGCATTACCTAACATAATATTGATGTAACAGTTAATTTCAGGAGGTTTATTTAATTAATGAATTAATTGAATAATCCAACTGAGTTCTAGCCCTGTTTAGATACTGATGCACTCTAAAAATCAGGCCAGTTTAAGCAGCACATTTTATCACGGTGTCCAATTTCAAAGAGCAAGTTATTGGAGAGGGGAATGAACCAAACAAGTGAGCGAGAGAAATCCTATGATAAAACTCTCAGTAAAGTCAACAGGGCCAGGATTTTATTCATCTTATTTACCAGGGAGAGGAGGAGGAGGAAAGAAGCCGGAGTCGTGCCTTATAACTGCATATATCAATTTTGTAGAGAGAATGCCAAACGCTGCTATGCTCGCCACAGCAACTTTTAGGTGTGCAGCTGTTACTACCTTGGTTTCATTTTAAATAGGTATTATTTTAGAACATTTGACAACTTACTTCTGTTTTCCATCATTTTAATCATGATGCTACTTCATCTCAATATTCACATGTTGAGAAAGACTTGCTCAGGTTCCCTATGAGGCCTTCATATCCCAAATGCCCAATGTCTGAACTACTAAGGAGTGCCATCTAAACTGAACAAGGCCTCTTGAAACTTATAACAAGGATTAAAAAAATAAAATAGCTGTCACTTCTCACACTTACCTCCCCACAGGTAGGAACTTTGTTCTCATTATCTCGGATTCTGTCCCACAGTGGAGATTCACGTTTCCATGCCATACTCTCCAAGATTTGCTCTTCAATATGATTAAGGTGTTTTACCACCTCTCTACAAAGGCCATCTTCTGCTCTAATAAAAATCTCTATTACCTGCAAAGTGAGTAAATATGAAACCCACTTATTACAATGTTAAACCAGGACATTGTGTGACCAATACAATAAGTGAGATCATCATACCTTTCATGTATTCCCTTTCAAATGGGTTTATATTAAATTTGTGAAGCATCACATTAATCCTGACAGAAAAAACAGGTATACCTCAATAATAGTATGCAACTGTCATACTAGTTCCCCAGCAGCTAAATACAATTAAATCTACATCAATCAATCACTATAATTACAGCTTTGTCAGATCAAAGTTACAAGATTTGAAAATAAACATTTTCAATCAGTCAAGAAGTGACATAGAAAGTGCCCATTATCCCACGTAAATGTTGTGGTCCAGTGCCATTATTTTGTAACTAGACAATTTGGACACCACCAATGCATTACACAGTTAACAGTACATGATTTTAAATACAAGTGGCATTTGCACGCTGCAGTTTAAGGTAGGAAAATTATTTGATTTTTCCAGCTTAAATTTCTCCAACAAAAAAACCCCACCCCACGTATGACCATTTTCATAACTTAGATTTTTTTGCCATTACACATCCATTTGAGGAAAAAGTAACTTGTTTCAAGGAAAAAACTTTTTTAGTGAGTAGAAGTAACTTTATCATGACTGGTAATCATCACGATCAAAGCCATTTACCTTATAAAAGTGATAAACAGGTACATCAAAGATTTCAGTAATAAATGGGAAAGTTCCAGGAGGCTTGTATGAAAAAGTAATTATCTCAAGGCAACATGCCAGGAGAGACCTGTGAAACACATCCTGCTCCAGTATTGCCTGCAAAACAAATATTAAAATAAACTTCAGCCTAGCTTAGAAAAACATGTCTACATTAAAGAAAAAAGGCAAACAAATAGTCTTTGGTTTGAACTTTATTGTATTAAAAAGTTAGATATTTTAAAAAACAAATATTGTATAACATTGTTTGTTTGAATTTACATACTCATATGCATTAACAACTCTAACTACAGCTGGGCAAACTGCATTCTATTCTGCCTTTGCATCATCAGCAAAATTGTCACCTAAATTCTGCTGCCAGAATTGAATCTAGAGTCAGTGTGCAGTGCCAGTTAGAAATATCATAATCTTTGCATTTGCAAACTGAACAATCCAATATGGAAATTGTTAAGAGAATAACTTCATTATGGAGTTATCTTCCCTACTAATTTTGAATGGCTCAACAGCATTTGTCATGCTGTGCAATTAATTCTTTCTGAAAGAAACAAGTTTAAAAGTGAATTATCTGATTGATGACTGATTTTACTTACTGATAAGTCAGTGTCTCCTAATCTTCTCCTCTCCTGCTCAATGACAGACTCTAATACCTTGTAGTAAAGAACCTCAGCAAGACGAAAATGCTTGCCAGCATTATCTGCAAGAGGAAAAAAATAATGAAAAATGATATTAAAAAACACTGTATATCTGATTTAAGGTCCACCTATTGCCATTAGTTTTTTTTTTAATATTAGCTTTTTTTCATAAAAATGAGGATAAAAATGACTTTATTAAGCGTAAGTAACAAATGTTGTGATTACATTTATATAGCTTTTCAGCTTGGGAGATCCAAAAATGCTTTATGTTGGGATGGTGATGGTAAAGAGGGTTGAAGAAGATTGGAGGGAAAGTGAAGAATAGCTTTTACTACTGAAGCCTCAGGGGGAAGTTCAGAAAGGCAGAATGTAACTGCAACAGAAGCTGGAATTTGACCAGGACACCAGAGCTAACAATCACCCTTAATCTTGCTGTTTAACACAAACTTTTGGTGAATTTTACTATAATTACAGAAGAGGTGCATCAGTACCTCAAGGTATAGATATTCCTTCAAATTTGTATTGTGAGTACAAACAATAAACAGAAAGCAGCTTTAAGAACTGGTAGATACAAAATGTCCCATATTGATAGAGGGAAATTGTCCCCCATGTTTTGTCCTTCAGTAGCTGAACTGTTTCACAGGGAAATCTGACTTAACAACATTCTGATAATTTTGCAAATAACTCTTTTGGTTGTGTTGTTCTGCACATAAGCTTCCAATATATCTGCCAAAATTTTCAATACAGTGAATAGCTTTTGCTCTTCACTCAGATTCTTCTTGTATTAATTCTAAACATAATTTCCAGGTTTGGAAGGAGTAGATTGGTAAATGTCAAACGTCTATTTCACCATATGCACAAGCCATGGAAAAATATTTACACTGACAATAACAAATTTACAGATAGGCAAAGTAAGAAAAATACTGCTTGAGAATGTAGAGTTTGATTTAAGGATGTTTACTTTGTATATTTTGACATGTGATGTTGACAAGTTGTTTTAATGGTTACATGTTTTGAATCAACAGCTACTGTCACTAAATAATTTGTCTGACTCCTACTTACCCTAATTTCCCACAGCTATGAAAATTTAAATAGATACAAATAGACAAAAAATGCTTGAATAAACATTGATAGTCAAAATTATAACAAAAATAAAAACAAAGCCTAACTCTTTCTAATATGTATTGTTTCCTATTTCCTGGAGAATTTCCATATATGGGCTAAAATTGCTATGGGATTTTTAAACAGCACAAGTGGTCTGCGTCATCTGTTTCATTTCGAATTCAGAAGACTGTAGCATCCAAAAGCACTGTGCACCATAAAGCCATGCTGGGCATTTCTTCAGTGCTGACAGAGAAAAGTGGCACCTGCAGCACCTATTTCTCCCTCCTGCCTCCCTTCCTGGAGGTCTCCCATTGAAGTACTTATGACATCTTACGTGGAGGTAAATTTTCAGTGTGGACCCAGGGGAAAACATAAAAGGCATAGCAGAATTCCCCAGAAAGGATATGTTGTGCAGAAATCTTAGATTTGTTGAACCAAAATGAAAGTGTCAAACTATAAATTACTTTTAAAAGAGCACAGTATTTTAAAGATATTTTAGAAATAAAATGTCTCACCCTTGGAGAAATTACTGAATTCTCCCTCAGATTGTGCGCACTGACAATATACTTCATACATTTCTTTCACTCTTTTTGCAATAGATTGAGAAGGATCCCTGGAACATGCCCTGGCAAAATAAATATTTTTTTCAAAATGCTTTACCAAGCAGCAAGTCAGACAGAGCCTTATCTACTTTTTATAAATCTTCAGCATAGTAGTTTTAAAGCAGTAAAACTGATGATGATCTAGGACTTCTTCTATCGTGCAAACACCATGTGCATAACTTTATGCACTGTGATTAGACCCACTCAAGATGGACTGACTTAGTGATTTAAATCACTGATTTAAGTCAGCAAACAGAAATCCTTGATTTGATTTAAATAGATTGTAATCTAGTTTTCCATTTGTACTTTTTAGCTATTTCCTAAACAAAAAGTGATTCTCATTAGTAACTATTAAATCATATTGATTTGCAACTAAATATAGCCACTAAATTTGGTACTTCTGTTTGCTAACCAGGATGATGCACTATCTATATACATTTATTTTAAGCAATTATATCAGAACACATTTATTCACATTTAATTTTTATGTTAGAAAATAGTGCATGATGCATATTTACTACCTTTTTAAAAATTGATGTGTCAGGCTCTATTTAGATTGAAACTGGAATCCAATTAAAAATGCACAAAACATTTTAAAATTACTAAATTCAGTTACCTTAAATGTGCTTACATAAGTATATAAAAACAGGTCTTGCATTTAAAACCAATTAATTAAACAAAGAAATATTACCTGTAGCTAGTTAACGGTACTGATTATTTCTGGTCACAATGTCCTTAATCTTTAGAACTAGAAGAACTCATCCTCTCACACTTAGTTTTTATTCATAGACTGGAAAAAGAAAATAAGCTTTCCTGCTTTTTCTACTACTAATCGGGTTTCTTAACTTAGAACAAACTAGTTATTGAACTGAAATGAAGAAAATATTCTCTCTGCATCCTTAGAAGAAGCGATTGCCATCAAAGCTGGTTTGACTTCAACAAACTTGGGTTCTAGGTGCTTTGCCAGTGACTTCCACCAGTTCTGTGGTTTGACTTTCTTTAAAATTTTGGCAGCAAATGTGTACTGCTAATATATACTAATTTATACTAATTTAAAGTTAAGCACAAGCACATCTTTGCAAGATCAGGCCTAAAATAATAATTTAATAGCATCTTTCCAGATCTTACTTTATAAAAGGGTATTAAAATATATTGATTAATGAGTTATAAAATATAAACACATGGTATTTTATATTTAATAGTCTCTTAGTGTGTAATGGTTTTAATTTTTTAGCTTTAAATAAAAAGTAGTAGGGGAAAACAGACAAAGATACTTTTCTTACTATTTTCCTGTTTTAAAAGGGGGTTGATCCTGCAGCCTGTAGTCATACAAATAGTACTTATCCATGAAAATATTTCTATTGACTTCAAGGACAAATGTGAATAAAATTACAGGACCAGGACCAGGGGATTTTAACTCTTCTCTGTGGGACTCCTACGCCCTTCTGGAGCCACCTGCCAGCAGCTTCCACTACTCATTTACTTGACAAAATTACATGATTTTACCTGAAGAGCTCTGTGTATCTTGAAAGCATGTCTCTCTCACCAAAAGAGTTGGTCCAATAAAAGATATTACCTTACCCAACCTTGTCTCTCTAATATCCTAGGACCAACACAGCAAATATGACTTACCAGTGACAGTTGTAATACAAAACATTTCTCTATTTTTAAAACTGTATTAGTTGGCCAGAAAAATCATGTGATCACACTAACCTGAGTATTTGCTCCAGATTTTCACTGGGGGCATTTTTTAGTCCTGTCAGCATTGTATGAAGACGGCTCAAGTTGTATGTTGCTATGGAAACAGGGGTCACATTGGGGTTGCTCTCTTTAATATACTTGCGGCCAGTAAGAGGTGTTGTAATTCTAAGTGATTTAGACTAAAAGACAAAAATTGCAAGATTGTGTATCAGTTTGTTATAAAATTGCATTATATACCCAAGAAATGCTAGAGAACAGCATGATAGGAGAAGGGAAAACTAACATTTCACATCAGAAGAGTTTTTTCTTACACTGCATACTTCATCATGCATTAAATTCACCTCCAAGTAACAATTTCCGAAGTACTTCTCCTAGTTAAGGCCTTTTACTTCAAACAAAAGATCCCCCAGATTGCTTTCAAAGGGACCAAAGCAAATAAGAAATATGGTTTCTCCTACTGGCCTTGAGTCAGCAAGAATCCAACCACATTTCAGACATCAAACTTCTGAGTGTACCTGCTGGCAGCTAATGGCCTGCTGACAGCTAATGTCACATGCAGTTGGAGGGGCAGAATTGTGTACTTTTCCACATGATGCAGGGTGGTCAGATATATTTCTTCTTATACTTTTAACATGCTCTGTTTAATATACCTAATACATTTTTGCCTACACTCTCACTAGCATTTTAGGTCAGGCTGGCTGGCCAGCCATCAGCCATCACAACAAAGTGTGAACTGAAACAAAATACACGAACACATCTAGGCTCTAAAGCCCTTTCCATGGATTTTCTACCCAGGAACATCTTAACCATATTTTGTCTTTGGTAAATCATTTTTGAAGAGGATATTTTCATTATTATAGCTCCGAGGAGCCCTAGTCATAGACCATCTCCCCACTCTGCCGGCACTGTACAAATACAGAACAAAAAGACAGTTCCAGCCCCAAAGTGTGATTGAACTTGGTTCTCAGTTTTATTATAGATTAAAAAAAAATCAAATAAAATGAAAATAAGCCACCTCTCAATGTTATCTCTGGTGCTCTTCTGCCTCTTCTGTTCTATATCTCCCAACTTCCCTTGGCAAAATAACAGACAAGCATGAACAGTATGTTTTTCTTCTTTTTTTTTTTGGTGGGGTCACCAAAAAGCACCAGAAAACGGTTACCTACCTTTTCATAACTGTTGTTCTTCAAGATGTGTTGCTTATGTCCATTCCATTCTAGGTGTGCGCGTGCCCACGTGCAGTCGTTGGAGATTTTTGCCTTAGCACTATCCATAGGGTCGGCTGTGTCGCCCCCTTGAGTCTTGCATTCATGTGCTGGTATATTAGGTACTGTCGGCCCTACACCCTCTCAGTTCCTTCTTGCTGGCAACTCCGACAGAGGGGCAGGAGGGCGGGTAATGGAATGGACATGAGCAACACATCTCGAAGAACAACAGTTATGAAAAGGTAGGTGTCATAATTATAAAGGGAAGGGTAACAGCCCTCCTGTGTACAGTACTATAAAATCCCTCCTGGCCAGAGACTCCAAAATCCTTTTACCTGTAAAGGGTTAAGAAGCTCAGGTAACCTGGCTGACACTTGACCCAAAGGACCAATAAGGGGACAAGATACTTTCAAATCTTGGTGGAGGGAAGGCTTTTGTTTGTGCTCTTTGTTTTGGGGGTTGTTCGCTCTTGGGACTGAGAGGGACCAGACATCAATCCAGGCTCTCCAAATCTTTCTGAACAAGTCTCTCATATTTCAAACTTGTAAGTAAACAGCCAGGCAAGGCGTGTTAGTTTTTATCTTTGTTTTCTCAACTTGTAAATGTACCTTTTTGCTAGAGTGTTTATCTCTGTTTGCTGTAACTTTGAACCTAAGGCTAGAGGGGATTCCTCTGGGCTCTTTAAGTTTGATTACCCTGTAAAGTTATTTTCCATCCTGATTTTACAAAGATGATTTTTACCTTTTTCTTTAATTAAAAGTCTTCTTTTTAAGAACCTGATTGATTTTTCCTTGTTTTTAGATCCAAGGGGGTTGGATCTTGATCCACCAGGAGTTGGTGGGAGAAAGGAGGGGGATGGTTAATTTCTCCTTGTTTTAAGATCCAAGGGGTTTGGATCTGTATTCACCAGGGAATTGGTCAAGAGTCTCTCAAGGCTACCCAGGGAAGGGAATTAGCACTTTGGGAGTGGTGGCAGTGGACCAGATCTAAGCTGGTAGTTAAGCTTAGAAGTTTTCATGCAGGCCCCCACATTTGTACCCTAAAGTTCAGAGTGGGGAAGCAGCCTTGACAGTAGGTAACTGTTTTTCCTTCTTCGAGTGCTTGCTCATGACGATTCCATTCTAGGCGACTCACAAGCAGTATCCTGGGAAGTGGGCTTGGAGTTCACAGTCTTGCAGCTTACAGCACTGCTCTACCGAAGCCAGCATCGTAATGGGACGTGAACATGTGGACAGACGACCAGATGGCCACCCTACAGATGTCCTGGATAGGCACTTGGGCTAGGAAAGCTGCCAACGAGGCCTGCGTCCTGGCTGAATGGACTGTTACAATCACCAGAGGGGGTTTGAGGCATCGGAGATGAGGGTCACAAATGGGGATGGAGCCACGAAGGGAACTTCCTCCAATGCAGGATTCTGCCACCATGTGAGTGACAACAGTACGTGGTTATGAACCCTGACTACACGGCCCATGCTGTTTCTGTTGGGGACATAGACCGACGCCAGCCACGCATGCCGGACCACGTAAGTGCAGGCCTCCATGCGGTCCAACAATCGCAGGCACATGTGAGCGGTGGTGTGAGGGTGGGCTTACATGCACGAGATCAGGCCCGTCATGGCTTGGAACCAGGCTTTGGAGAGGAAAGCTCTAGCCTGAGTAGAGCTGAGGACTGCTCCAATGAACTCTATGCATTGCACTGGAATTAAGGTTGACTTTTTCTCATTTATTAGCAGCCCCAGGTTGCAACAGTTGGAGCAAACCAAATCGAGGTGCCACCTCACCTGATCCCTTTATTAGCCAGTCATCGAGGTACAGGTAAATTTGAACACCCCGATGCCTAAGGTAAGCAGTCACTGGCACTATGCACTTTGTGAATACTTTTGGGGCTGACAAGAGACCGAAGGGAAGTGCTGTGAATTGGAAATGGCACTGGCCTAGCACAAAACGGAGGAAGTGCCTATGCCCTGGGAAAATGGACATACGCATCCTTCAAGTCAAGGGTGGCATACCAGTCTCCCAGATCAAGGGAAGGGATGATGGAGGCCAGGGAGACCACGCGAAACTTCAACTTCTTGAGAGACTTGCTGAGGCAACGCAGGTCCAAAATGGGTCTGAGGTCCCCTTTTGCTTTTGGGATTAGGAAGTAGCGGGAGTTGAACCTTTTTCCTTTCATGTCCTGAGGGACCTCCTCCACTGCCCCCAGGTGCAGGAGGTTCTTGACCTCCTGAACAAGAAGGATGGGGAAAGATATTATGTTGAGAACCCAACCGTTCGAGGCGCAGGCGATTGAGGAAAGAGTAGGAGGGTGGCTCTTGGGATGTGACTGGGGCGACGTCCTTGAGCACACCCTCAAAATGCCTGCTTCTGTCCTCCTTGGTTCCTGGAAGGGCTAGGCTAAGCAGACAAACAGGAAGACGGTAGGTGTCGCTGCTTAGACCCCTTGTCTCTAGCCTTTCTCCTGTAGGTGCTCAGCTGAGGAGTCCCCCAGGACCTAGACTGGGGAGGCGGAGAAGGCAGAGGATAAAATAGCTTTCTGGCCTGCTAAGGGGTATGAAGGCCCAAGAAGCGGAGTGTGGCACGGGAATCTTTAAGGCCATCGAGCCTATGAGCTCGGAGAAGAGCCCTGCCCCCTCAAATGGGAGGTCCTGAACAGTGGCCTGCATCTCCTGGGATTACCCAGAGGACTGCAACCAGGAGCTGCGCTTCATGACCACCGCAGAGGCAACCACCCTGGCTGCCAAGTCCGTAGCGTCCCAAGGCCTTCTGGAGGGCCCCTCTCGCCACCGCTGTGCCGTCTTCCACTAAAGCAGCAAACTCCTGGCCTCGGTCCTGTGGGAGGGCCTCCTTGAATTTGCTAAGGGAGTCCCACAGATTAAAATTGTACCTGCCTAACAAGTCTAGTCTCCTGGCGTCTTTTGTTTTTTGGCATGTCACTGACTTGGCCTTACCTGTCTCTTTCATTAACAGCAGACGTGACCAGACAGGACACTGGAGGATGTGTTCACAAATATTTGAACCCTTTTGCAGGGATGTAGTATTTATTTTCCACCTTTTTAGAAGTAGGAGGAATGGAAGAGGGGGTCTGCCACAGCGATTTGGCAATCTTAAGGATCCCTGGGTGGATGGGCAGTGCGGCCCCGGGCCAGGATGGAGGAGGATATAACATTAAAAAGGTTGTCGGACTCCTCCGTGAACTCAATTTTCAAGTTCAAATTGATAGTCACCCTTTTAAGAAGGGCCTGGTGCTCCTTGAAGTCGTCAGTGGGACTGCCCATTTGGGAGGGACCCGCCACCGCTTTGTCCGAAGATGACAACGGGTTCACCTTCCCTCTCTAGGGATGGCTCCCTATACGTTGGGGCCTGCTGCGCTGCCCCCACGTGGGATTTGGTACTGTGTTCCGACTCCCGTGCCGGAGACCGTTTGTCCAAGGTGGCCAGGGAGGAATGGTGGGAATACGGGACCGGCATTACAGGTTCCAGTTTGGGCATTGAGTGGGCTACTGTCCCTGCTGCCATACCGCCGCTACAGATGCTGTAGCGGTCTCGTAAGTCAGCGGCGAATCACCCTTCCTTGGCGAGGGACTGAACTCACGGTCTGACTCGGACCATTGTCCTGCTGGTGACCAGGCAGAGCCATAGAGGCCTGACCCTGCTTGGCGATCAGTGAGAAGAGGGCGATGATTGGTGCCTGCCCGACAAGCAGTACTAAGGAGGTGGAGACCAATGCCGAGATAGGGAGTGATCCTGCCCCGGTGGGGACTGACGTCTGGGAGACCGTCGAGGTGAAAGTGACCTGCACCTCGGCGATCTTTGGCGGGGAGCTTGCCGGTACCAGGGACACAGAGACCAGTGCCTCAACTTCGGTGTCCCATGCCTCATAGAGGGAGAGTGCAGCGCTGGGGTCCTAGGCATCTACGCCTGCGGTCCAGGGACTGAGGATGCTCCACTGCCCTATGGGGCGGTCCCATGACCGGCTTGCCCTTGGGTGTTGGGGTCTTAGCTAAGTCCGGTGCCTGGTGCGGCATCTGCAGTGCTGGCCAGTCAGCCTGCTTGTTCTTTAGCCACTGGGGCCGCTTCGGGCAACGAGGGCCCAAGGAGAAGCCGGGGTCCCCTGTCGCTCCCAGGAGTCGGATCCCTGGTCAAAGAAGGGGTTCGATCGTAGCAGTATCCCTGTGAAGCTCTGGGGTGGGCATGTGGCATGACATAGGTTCTTTGCCCGAAGCCCCTCTCCCTTCCGGTGCTGAGAGGCTCTTCTTTTGCTGCTTCTTAGGCACTTCCATGAGGAGGGCCCTCAAGCGGAAATCCTGCTCCTTTTGGGCTCTAGGGCAAAAGTTTTTACAGATTTTGCACTTCTCCTTTCTATAGGACTCCCCCAAGCACTTCAAACAGCTGTTGTGGGGGTCACTAATAGGCACTGGCCTGTTGCATGAGGAGTGTGATTTGAAGCCGGTGGGAACAGGGCATGCCCCGCTCCAGGGCGAAATCCCACCCGGGACTAACTACCAAACTAATCTAACACTTACCTTAATGGCTGGCTAACTAACTACCTACAAACTATATACAAAGAAGATAGACAATGGGTTGCAAAGAACTGGTAACGCTCTTGCAATGCAAGGTGAGGCGCTCCAACCAACCATCATAGGCAGTAAGAAGGAACTGAGAGGGCATAGGGCCGGTGGTGCCTAATATACCAGCGCATTAGCACGGCACACAAGGGGCACCACAGCCAACCCTACGGATACCACTAAGGCAAAAATCTCCAATGACTCTGCACGTGGGTGCACACACCTAGAATGGAATTGACTTGAACAAGATCTCAAAGAAGAAACAAAGTTCTAAACACAGCACAGCTGTGGCTACATACAAGCAGAAGCAGCAAGTTTATAAATTGGTATAACATTTTTAAAAGGTATTATTTAATTGGCAGTTGAACATGTTCTAAATTTACAGCAGAACAATGTATAAAAACAGTGACTGAAGTTTGTTACATGTGGATGTAATGTCAGAGCCACAAATACTGAGGGTTTTTTTAAATTGACAATTTAACAATGAGTTTGCCTCATCCTTGTGTAATACATGCACATGTTCTAATATCCGAACAACCACCATAAATATACTGTAGTTGAGATTTTTCAAAGCCATATAAGGGAATTTAGACACATCTCCCATTAGTTTCACTTAGAAAATCTCAATGTATGTCCTTTTACACTGTCTACAAGAGAGAAGGGAAATAAATATAACATTAAAAAGTGGGTCAGTAACCTATCCATGCACAGAGGAAGTGTCCTTTATTTTTTGGGCCCCAAGCTAACAGTGCCTTACCTTCTGGAGAGGCCAGGATAGGTATATATCCCTTTTGAAATGATTATTCTGACAAAACCATGTAAAAGAGGCTTTCCAGCTCCCCCCTCAAAGACTCTCTCATACCTGTCTGAGGATTGCACACTGTCAAATAGTACTGCATATTCTGTGAAGTCAGCTATGATGCTCATATATGCCCTGTGTAGCAGATGTCAAGTAGAAGACAATATTCATCTATATACAGCTACTGAGAAGAGAATTAAAAGGCCTACACCTCTCTCTATTGGGAAGATGTACACTGACATCAATGGTGTGAGGTACAGAATCAGGGCCCAAGCCTTCTGTCTGCATTGCTCATCTCTCTTATTCCACTAGAAATAAGAAAGCTGCATAACAGGCAGGTGCAGCCTGAGGCAGTAATTGACACTGGATGGCTAGTCTAATGTTTGGGGGTCACTTTGGCAAATACCCAAAGTTTGAAAGGAATCATAGAGTGTTCATTCAGTCGGGCCAATTGAAAAAACAAACAAACATAGCTGCGGTCTAACCAGTAAACAGCTCAACTACAGAGGAGCAGATAAAAAAAAAAAAAAAAAAAATCTAACAAACAAAAAAACCAACCAACCAACCAAATAAAAAAAACCCTAGGCCTAAAACCACAAACATTTTCCTATCAGTGGTCTTCACTACTGAAGCAAGGTTTTCTTTCAGCTCTTTAAATAAGACTTGAACTCTAAAACAGTCTCTTCTATAGTCACCAGCCAACTCTCATGAGCATTTCAGCTCAACAACCTCAGAGCAGTCCCTCACATAAATTAATTAGTACTGATATGCTCTTTGGATGAGCATATAATACTTTTTTTTGAGTAAAATAAGATATCCCTCCTAACTGTCTTTCCAGGACTGAATTACTTCAGAATGTTATCTCACTGTAAAGCACACTCTCCTTTTGCACTTCTGTCACCAACAAGCCAAGTAAAGTAAATTAAGATTGTTTTACACAAAGATTTATTAGCAACAAGCTTTTGAAAAGTCTCAACATACGTATAATGTCAAAGAAGAACTGGCAGTGTGAGTAAAAAGAATGTTGTCAGTATAAATGCTGATATAGTTGGCAGCCCTGAAAACACTGCCTGATAAATAAAAAAAAAAAAGGTAAATCTAAAATGCATACACTGAACAAAATTAAAATATTAATCTATAATCAGTGATTGTAACAACTGTGCTGTCTGCCATAGGCAAATGAAACAGAGTGGAACAAAAAGTAGTAGCTGTTAAGCAGCTGCATCTTTCTTTGACACAGCCTTACTCAAATCATCCACTAGACGAAACATAAAAACAGTCAGTGTGTAACACCGACCATGTCATACTCACTCTGTCAAAGTGCTGCTGCAGATTATACTTCACTTGCACTCTTTCAGCTGTTTCCATTCCTGAAGCTGTGTTTAGGCACCTTCTCAGAGTTCCAATTTCCTCATCTGCATCCTCCCCCAGAAATATCCGCTCATCCAGATTTCCAACTGACAAAACATACTCTTCATAGGCTTTGTTGATGGCCTTGCTACAGCAGGGGGAAAAAAGCATCAGATACTCAAAACAAAAGCTGTATAAATATCTGCAACAACTGATGGGTTGCTGTTTTATCTACTTATTGTATACATTTATCTGTTACTTCTGCCTGTTGGAAATTTACTGAAGATATTTTTAATCCTAATTTAATATTTGAGATTTATGTCATGGGCCATAATATCACAAGTATGATAACAGCAAGAACATATACCTGTCTTTCCTATCCAATCTGACAAGTGGCTATGCCATTTAGTAAAAGCCACAGAGCTAATCGAAAGCAGTATTAGATTTACCTTAGCCTCCTCTAGCTTTCCATACTACTGAGAAATCTGTATTTGCCTGGAAGTTCCTCCTAACTGAGAGCGCCTCCTAGAATCAATCAGGAAGTGATTCTGGGTTTGAAGGCACATGCGTCACCAATAAATCATTTTCAAAAATCCTAAAGGATGTTATGGAAGTTTAAGCATGTTTTCCCACCATTATAAAAAAGGTTAACTAAAATTTTAGGTACATAATGTTATCCTAAAATTATTTCTGAGTATGACTTAGCAGAAGCAAATAAATTAAAAATAAATTGGAAGTGGGTAATATGAAAAAGTCTGTAAGTGAATAGTTTTTAGGATCAGAGTATATTAAATTAGCAATCAGCTGTCCCTCATGAGAAAACAAAATGAGTAGAACCCCTCACTGCCAGTACACAGAGAAGGCAAAACAATGTCTGAATTACTTACAAATTGTGTGTAACAGGCTAGCTGAGGATTCCTCTAGTGTAAGAAAACCTTAGGGTACTGAAGAGTTCGCATACCAGGCTTGACCTTGTGGCCTCTGGTGAATAATACAGAGGCATGGCTAGAGAGCTGCTGCATTCCAATGATCCCCCACTGCCACAGCGGTCCCTGGGGGCTCATTGCAGCTGAGCAAAACAGAACAGCCTGAATTGCTCTAAATTGCACTGGGACATAATGCATGCCTAAAGGTGGGGAAAACACACTTTTGTGCTGAGCCCTTCTTCTTTCCCTCTACAATTAGGCCGACTGCAGATGGCGTGTGTGTGTGCGCGCGCGCTTCAGAGAAGTGCGTGTGTGTGTGTGTGCGCGCGCGCTTCAGAGAAGTGCGTGTGTGTGTGCGCGCTTCAGAGAAGTGCGTGTGTGTGTGCACGCTTCAGAGAAGTGCGTGTGTGTGTAGGTCTCCCACTGTCTGAAAAGGGGATGTTACCTCACACAGGCATGTGTGCTGCAAGATAGGGTCAATTTCCACAAACTCCTGCCTTCCTTAAGGAGGCATCAGATACACACACTCCCCGCCCCCTTCATATTAAAGAAAACTTTTGACTGACTGTTTCATGACAAAGGGGCAAGGCTTTTACTACACCAAGAGAACAGAACCATAGGAGCACTCTTTCACTGGCCTTGTCTTCCCTACAAAAAAGTGTGTTCTTAACTCAAGTTAGCTAATGTGAGGTAAAATCCTAGTGAAAACAGGGAAGTTTGTAATTTTCACACAAGTTAGCAGGTTGAGTTAAAGACCATGGGGGAGCTTAGCCTTTAACACAATCTTAGAAACTTCCTTGTCTTCGCTAGGATTTTACCTCATATTAGCTTACTCAAGTTAAGAACAGCCTTTTTTTGTAGGGAAGACATGGCCATTAGGACCATGATATTCTGGTGTAAAACTGCTTTTCTTCTGAGTGAAATTTTCAAAAGCACCTAGGTGATCCGATTACTTAGACCCTTGTGAATGTCTCACCTTCCACCTTTTAAAAAACTCCTTATATTCCTATAACAAGATATTTTTTTAAAAAGTTGATTAATTTTTTCTTTGGTGGAGGAATCAAGGGATGGTTTTGCTCTGTAAAAGGGATTTTAAAAGATTTTTACTGTATGTCTCGAAGTATGTGGAAAATACACATTTGATAAGTAACACAAACATTTGTTAGTAATTCATCCATGATGTACACATCTTCTTTCCTTAAAAGAAGAGTATAAAATTTCTAACTTAGATACTTTTCTCTCAAACATATACTAAAATTAAATAACTCTGATCCTTGATATTGTTCATGAGAGACCGCCTTCATAGTCCTCTTCTCCCTTACATAATGCTGTGAACCTTACTCACAAATGAGTTTGAAATCATGTGCCTAAATGTTTAGAAAACAACTCTTCATAATTGGAAATAACATGCTCACGCTCACCTGCCATTCTTCAAAATGGCCTATCAGTGTCCTGCATACCTCTGGACCCAGAACTACTTCCCAATTAACCCTAGAAGGGATTTCTGGACAAACATGGGCTCTTCCGCTGGAGAGAATGGGGGCAGCACTAAAGCAGAACTTTTGATCTAGTACAACCTTCTCATGGGTCTGAGACAACTGCCAGGAGGCATGGCCACATGACAAACATTGAATGGAAAAGAGAAGTAACACAGATATCTGTAATCATTTCTGAAGATCTGAGGGGAACAAAATTCATGCCAAGGCTTTTCAATATACAGTACTTTTACTGTCAAATGCATTTCACAGTTTGAATACTATCTAGCTCGCAAACAGCCTTTTTAAAAAAAAATCATATGAATAGATTTTATTTCAAAGACTTTCATTCAGCAAGTTCATTAGAACAAATGTTATGTCTGAGACTAGTTTGTTTTAAATAATTTCCTCCATTCCCAAACACTTTCAGAGAAATGAGGGAAAAAAAAGAATCTTTCTGAAGAGATTTGTTTTTCATCAAGAAATCCTCCCTCCATATATCCTAATTCACGTTCTCAATATGAAAATAACTGTCTGTGGCTCCACACCTCTCTGTTAGACAACAGGAATAAAATAAATCTCTCTCTCTTTCTGGTACTCTGATCTCTATGGAAGGGATACTAAAATAATTGAACACAGCAAATAATTTCTTCCTCAAGAAGTATGAGCCCTGAAATATGCCTGAAACTGAGATACCTCAAAACAGGAATCTGAAAATTACATTTAATTCAGGACTTCAAACAGTTATATAAATCAACTAGTTAATATTTTATTACCACTCAAAGGTGCAAAACATAAAAACACACAATGTCAATACAGCTGTTTTTGTTTTGAAATTTGGAAGGAATGTTTATGCAAAACACTCACAAGCTGTCTCCAAAGTTCCCAGGATCTAAAAATCCAGTCAGATTTTCTTCCTTGCCTTTTAAAATCTGTAAGAAAATTTAGTACAAATGGTGAATATTTCAGTAATGTGCCAGTTCTAGGAGATGGGATGGGATGGGATGGGATGGGATATTTTAAAGCCAGTCATTAAGCAGATTTCTTCCCCCTCTACAAGAAATCTTTTAAGTCTATTAGACAAACCTTCTTGTCAAAAAGTTTCCTAATATATGGCTTCCAAAAATGTTCCTTTATGCCTTTGGCATCCAAAACCAAACCATCATGTAAGGAACAGAGTTTTTCAATGATGCAGGGAGGGTCAGAAGATGGTTTATAATCCTTACTGTGAAAGTCTTCAGGAAGGCCTACAAATGAAAGAGAAAAATGTGATATTTAGTTATGTAAATTCCTGTCCTGCTAACCAAATATATCTATTTAAAGAACTAATATACTGCAAGACTAAAATAATCAGCCACTTTGAAAAGCACTGATGAATCTTAGAATGTCAACTTAATTTGACAATATTATCAAACACTACTTATAAACATTTTTAATTTGTGACAGAGAAAAATAATCACAAACATGTAAAACCATTTTTTTTTCTAATGGAAAATTGATCAAATACTTATGAACTGTAAGAATTAGTAAAATATAGCCAAAGAAGTGGTCCTAAAAAGAGGCTCCCATCCTCACTAATGCTTAAACTAAGCTAAACTGTAGGAAAATGTTAGAGGCAAATAAGCTAAAAGCTCACTGCACTGAAAACAAAAGTTTAGGTCTGAAGAAAAAAATTATATTACTGACTCAATGGAAACATTTCACTATTTAATTATTTGTACGTGTTTATCATGTCAATTTACATTTTGTCACTGTCTATCGTCTTTAACAAGAAAGCAGTGGTTGATTTGCTAGTTTCCCTCAATGGTGCTTTCTTCGTAAATGATATTCCTGGCTTCTCTATGCACCATTAATGAATTCCAGTTGTTTATTTCAGAGTATACTGTATAATGGAAACCTGTTAAACTGTACAGCCAGTTAGAGCAAAGAATTAATAGCTTCAAGATGTTTAGTCCTTTTCATGGATCAAGCCAATATTCTATTATTTAGTCTCTGCCCTACACAGTCTCAAAAAAAGGATTTAGTTTTAGCAGTTCTCATTGTTTTGGATGGAAGAAAACTTTTTTTCTACATACCTTTAAAGGTAGGATTCAGAAGTTCCCTACGATTAGGACACTGTAGAGCATTTCCATACACTAGATCCAAAGCACATAGCAAGAGATGGTAGGAATTGACTAAGTCATCACTGATCATGGGAAAATTTCCTATGTGATTAGAAATATACATCGGGTTAATTTACAATAATATCAGCTTCAGAATTCTGAAAACAATTCACTCTTCAGATTTATTCTATAATCATAATGCAGAATCATATCTCAAGATCTATCTCTTTGGTGACTGTAATAAATATCTGTTAGAAAAAGGGAACGATAAACAGATAAACATTGTGTGTGTTTAGGAATAGTGTTAACTTTATTGGTTATTATTACATTCTGTTTTGAAAACAAAACCAACAAAATGTTAACATAACAGGCTGGATGTTCCAGTCTGCCAAGTTCACTTTGTGGCAGTGAAGCAGAGGAAAAGGAACTTAAAGTGGTCAGAGAATGTCCCTAGTGAATTCACCCACGCAGGAGGAATCTCCACTACTACAAAGCTGACAAATGTGGCTTTACTGCCGCCTATACCAGCTCCACTGCCTGGCTCTGCCACCTCCTGCACCAGAACCCCTCTGCACCCAGCATGAGAATGCAGGGAGTGCGTCAGAAGAGACAGACAATGCACAGTGGGGAGAGGCTTTCCTTATTTTATATACTTTTATGTAGTTTTTTATTTATCCCTTCCAAATTGAAGAGTCCTAATAACAACAACCTCCACTTTCATCATATGGAAGTCTATCCATGACTCCAATCAGATTTGTTGACCTTCTCTACAATATTCTTTTTCTGCAGAATCTTTTTTGAGGGGTGATGATCGGAATTGAACACAGTATTCCAAATGAGAACATACAACGTATATAATGCCATAATAATATTTTCAGTATTGTTCTCTATAACTTAAATACAGACTAATTGCATTTACTTTTTTGATTCTTGTTATGTTCGGAGATGTTTCATTGAGTGTGGTGGTAGACTAGAAGAGAAAAGAGCTGTGCACTGAGTAGACGTCTTCACTGAGTTATCCACATCGTGATAAGTTAATTTAGAACACATCAATGTGTACATATAATTCAGATTTACTTTTTAAGATGCATTTCCTTGTATTAGCCCACTACTACATTACCCGTCTATTGAAATTCTGGAGTAAGTTCTCTCCTCCACACTAGGTTCCATATTTGTTAAAAGATAATCATTTCATCACTGCATCTTTTCAGTAAGAATAGCACTTTTGATGGTAGAAGCGGTTTAAGACCTCCAAAATTTTCAGGAGAGGGGTGGCAGGCAGGGCAGTAGGGAAAGAGGAGCCAACTATGTTGCTTTCCCACTTCTCTCTGTAAAACACCCTTCCAACCTCAGTTTTGGAGCACTATGCCCTGGTCTACACTGGGGGGGAAGGGAGAGAATCTAAGTTACACAACTTCAGCTACACTTAGATTGGCCTACCAAGGTGTCTCCACAGCGGTGAGTCAACTGCTGCTGCTCCCCCGTCGACTCCGCCTGCGCCTCTCGCAGCGGTGGAGTACAGGAGTCGACGGGAGAGCGCTTGGGGGTCAACTCCCCTAACTCCCCTACATGTCCTTGAGGTTTCCCAGCTCTCTGGATCTGTCAGAGTACAGAACTATCATAAACTCTGTCAGGTAGCCTGAAATCTGCTGTCTGCCCCACCTATTACCCTAACACCACCTCCATGCCAATTGGCAACAGGTTCACTGTTCTATAACAACAACTTCTATCAGGCCTGACAAACTCATTACACCGAACACTTTGCTGTCATAGTCTTTATCTGTAAAGAATGTTGTGTGCTATCTTAAATGAAAGCCAGGATCATTAATATTGTGAAATGTATGTACTGACTATATTTGAAAAGTTGTGTCTATATACCTCAAATATGTTCTTATAGTATGTTTCAAGGTGTTACTCCCCAGCAGAGATGAAAAACTGGTTTTGCCTGAATAAAGTATGTGCCTAGGTTCATACATAGAGTAAGCATTGCAAGCCAAACATAATGGCAGTTACATATTTGTATTTCAAGTGAACAGAGTCTGAAGACAACTTGGAGCCAGCATACCTGAAACAACAGGGGGTTATCCAGACTCTGGGATTAAAACGGCGAGCATAAGGACAAGCAAAAAAGTCATTTTGGTATCCATTTACTGAGGAAACCCCTTGTAGGGTGTAGGATATTCATGAAAATTTGGATCCTGGTTTTGACTGAAAACCAGCAGCTCTATCAAAGAATGAATCCTTGAAAGAAAAGCTACAATATAGGAAAGAACCATTAATAAGTGTAGATGTAGGATTGCGTTTTATGTTTCGTTTGATATGTGTAACTAGTTCTGTTTTTACTCATCTTCTCTCGGTATCTCTTAAATCTAAATCTTTATTAATAAACTTCTGATTGTTTTCGCTATAAATAAATTTCAGTGCTGTAATGTTAGAACGATCATGAGTTGCACAAGCAAAGCTGCATGTACACTGTCGCTCTGGAGACAGCTTACTTGGTATTTCTCAGAGCATCCAGTGGTTAAGCAGTGGACACTACAGGGAGCACTCTGAGGACTAGGGGGGTTCGTGTTTACCTAGCTGAAGCCTGCACAGAGGGAGCGAGGTTTGTAGAGACTTGGAAGTCAGTGCAGAGGCTGTTGGTTTCAAGGAGCTGACCCACACCAGGCACAGACAAGGCTGCTTTATGCTAAGGGCAGGTAGTGGTGAGGTACCCTCTCAACCCTAGGTACCTCTGGGGAGCGTCACGCCATCCTTCTACAGTAATTTAGAAAAGTCCCTTCACTGCATGTGTGCCTCCTGCCCTCTTCTCCTACCCTCACTTGGATGGTCTAGTGCAGGGGTTCTCAAACTTCATTGCAACGCGACCCCCTTCTGACAACAAAAATTACTACACGACCCCAGGAGGAGGGACCAATGCCTGAGCCCACCCAAGCCCTGGGCAGGAGGACCCAGAGCCCGAGTCCCATGGCCCCTGGTGGGAGAGCGGGGCAAAGCCGAAGCCCACAGGCTTCAGCCTCAGGCACGGGGCCTGTAACCTGAGCCCCACCACTCAGGCCGTGGGGCTCGCTAGACCCAGGCCTCAGCAAGTCTAAGATAGCGACCCCATTTAAACAGGGGTGCGACCCACTTCAGGGTCCCGACCCACAGTTTGAGAACCCCTGGTTTAGTGATTTGCTGTGATTGGGGAAAAGACAGGGTGGGCTGAGGAAGAAAGGGAAAATAAGATCTACTACAACTATCTCCACACCCAGGGGAGGAATGGAAAAGAATATGATGCTACAATATACCATCTGGGAAGAGGAAGAATATGATGAATCTAGGATCACTGCTGAAGGTCTGGGATGGGATTGAATGCTGGAGGAAAATTAGGAAGAAGAAATGTGAGGCAGGAGAAAATCAGGGTTGCTGCTATGGCGAGAGTGGCTGGTAGTTAGGAGTTCAAGTTTATGCCCTGAAAAGTCAGCTCTGCTTCCCATCAATCTTAGATGTCAGAATTACCAGACACATAGATGAACATGATTTGTTGGGGGAAGAGTCTTTTGGTGTTTCTTATATTTTTTCAGGGTAATAAATTCCCCATTCTCAAGAGGTTACTGTAATATTTTATGCTTTTACACTTTTAATTGCTTTCCAAATTATTTAAGCTCTTGTGATTGAGATCCTAATCATTCAGGCTCCTTCATATAGCATGAGAGGGACAGAGTGGCATAAAGGGGCCCTTAAAGCTCACAAACCAGCCCGGGGAAGATTATCTTGATGAGAATATGGTGGAAACAGCCAGGACCCCTTCTGAAATCCTGTCACGTAAGGAGTGTGGCCAAGACTGCATAGTTTCTGGGCAGCCCTGAGGCCCACAGGGCAGACTGGGGAGGCAGCTGTAATTTACGTGCCCAGGGCTGTTTAAATTATATCAGGGGCCTCTCCAACTCCTGGAACAGCCCATGATTAGGAGGATGCAAAAGTCATGTAAAGCCCCTTTAATTCTCCCCCCCCAGCCAGGGTTCAAGTACCACGCTGCACCTCTAAAAAAATGCACAAAATTGCACTCTAATTCAGTAATCAGAATAAATGGAGTTACATTCTGTCACCACTTTTAAAAAAATAAATAAAGACTTTTCCATCACGTCCTAATTAAGGGAAGTTATTCCCTTACTCTCAGTTTATGGGAAAGCACAATATTTAAATTGAACATTCTCCTTGCCTGAATCCAGTGGGAATTCTGGTTTCCTTTATTCCAACCTGAAATTCTTACGTTACCTGCCTGATAATACTGCTTCAAGTTTAGAAGAACAATACCTTCCCCTCTTCTTATAGTAACTGTAAAATCTTAAAAAAAAACAAACAAACAAACAAAAAAAAACAAAAAAAAAAAAACTTGAGGGCTTATAAAGACCCTCCAGAATCCAGTAGCGTTTTATCTAACTTCCCAAAGAAAATCCTAGAGCATATATAGGATGAATAAGGAACATGAAAGCGTAATTTCATTCACACACACACACTATCACTCAGTCAACCTTCTTAGACAGTTTATTTCATTCTTGCTTTCTTTGAGACGTTTTGCAGAAGACGAGGACAGGCTAGCCTTATAAAGTGAATCTATTGTATCAGTTATATGTACACACAAATAAGTACTTACGTTCTATACAGGCACATCAGAAATGACATGACATTTTGAACTTCTCTATATGTTTCTTGGTTCATCAGTACTGACAATAATAAAAAATGTACTTTATAATCCAAGACCTGGCCAAAGTGAGCTAATTCACAGAGCAACAGAAAAGGGTTACATATGTTACGACAATGTCATCTGCATAGGAAATGATTTTGTTCTGGAGTTTCAATTTTGGGTTCTGCAATATTTTCTTTAATTATAATTTTTTCAGCTCCTGGTTATTTTCTATTGCTAAGGCAAATAAGAAAGGCAATAGATATGCTAGATCTCTAGTTTCCTTTTAAAAGTAGTATTTCTCTAGGGAGAAAGTTATTTACAAATGTGCATGGTTTAAAATGGTTAGCTCTTTGTGTACAAGACATTCACTTGTTTTCTCAATATTATCAGCTTTATGGCTGTTAATAGGTATGCCTACCTGAAAGTTGTT